AAAAAAAAAAAAAAAAAAAAAAAACATACGTCATCTCAATTTGCATCTCCCTAACTTCTAGTGGGTTGAGCATCTCTTCACGCTTTTAGTATTTGTATTTCATCTGCGAATCACCAATTCATATTTTTTATCCATTTTCCAAGTTGTGTCATTTGGCTTTTCCTCATTGGTTTATTTCCTCAATCTATTGTTGATTCCTCGGTGATTCTTTTTATAGCACGGACACTAACCCTTTGTTATTCTTACTACGAATATTTCCCTTCCATGCTTGATAAAAAAATTGTCAGTGCCGGCTGTTAAAGCCCCTTGTCCAGGAAGCTTTGGGGCTCACCAGCTTCTAGATTGGGTTGATGAGCACAAGGCGGGGCTGCCCACAGCAGGGCCCTCTGTGGCTCTTGCATGGCGATATCCAATAAACGGATCAAATCGAGCCTTCATTCCTGGGACACAGGACTGTAGACACAAGGAGGGGCTTCATGGGAACAAGTCACGGGCATCTTGTTCCTTTGTAAACAGCAACATTCATGCAATCCCAATTTACAGATTGTTGAATGCTCTGTGCCAGCGTGGCCCTCCATGCTGGTGGCACTAAGAGGGGGAAGGCTGGGACCGTGTCCTGGAGGCACGTCAGGGGCCTGGGCCATCTGCATAGCACTGGAATCGGGGTCCCGGGAACTGCGGCTGGAATACCAGATCTGTTTCCTAGAAGATGACTCCAGCAGCTCATCTAGAGGAAGCTTCTAGAAAGCCCAGCAAAACCTGGGATCCCAGCCACATATCTTAAGTCATTTTTAGTGAAGAGGTAGAATTTATGGAGTTGACATTTGCGAAGGAGTCTTTCCACGACAACCCCGGATGCCTGGGCCAGGTGAGGGGCCAGGCAGTGACGGCCTAGATTCCGTCCTGATCTGTGTGTAGGATTGAGGGAGGCCTTCCCTTCCTTCCTTCCTCAGCCCCTCCACGTGGTGATAGATTCCAGACACACCCAGACACCTGGCTTTACCTCCCGACAGAAAACCTCCTCCCGGGGACAATCCCACTCACCCCTGGCCCCTACCTCCAAGACCTGCCCACACATTCTCTCCCAGGATCCAGGACCTATTTGGGCAGCCAGATAAGAGACTGAGCAACCTCAGCCTTCCTGGCCATCTCTGGTGGCCCTGGGTCAAGTCCTTGTCCCTGGACACAACTCGTGCCCAGACTGAGCAGATATATGACTAGGGTTTCCAGGAGTCCCCTCCCCCTACACGTGAGGGCTGCTTCTAGAGTTAACGTGATGGCTCACGGGCCAGGAAGAAAACGGTCCCTTCACGTCAGAGCTGTAGAGATGGAGACAGTCTGGAAGAGCAGGCCTTCTGACTCAGCCCCGGTCTGCTGCTCCCCCCTCTTGGCTCCTGAGTTTGCTTGTTTTTTTCTTCCTTTTTCCTTTCCTCCCTTTAATAAAAATCCCCTGGGTTTTAAAATTTCATTTCAAGGACACCCGGCTGGGTACCTCCTCTGCCTGGGGTCACTACTGACACGCGGCGATGGTGAATACCCGGGCTGCCCTTCACGGAAGGCCACAGCTTAGTCCTAGGACAGGAGGCCCGCTCTCAGTCAATGTTCCAGTTTCCACAGAACGGCGTGCCACAAGTTAGCACAGGATGACTCCAGAGCAAGAAACGGGGACCCAACCCGGCCTGGGAAAGGGGGTGACCCGGGCTTCTTTGAGGGAGCCTCACCACAGCTGAGCTCAGGACTGGAGGAAATCGTTTGTGAGGCAGGAAGGAGGTGGGGACAAGTGGTGTGTGTGTGTGTGTGCACATGCACGTGTAGCATATGGTAGGAGTGTGTGTAGGAGGGTGTATGTGTGGAAGGGTCTTGCCTAAGGAAGTCAAAAGCTGGCTGGTACAAAACTCGAGTAAAGGAGGTCAAAGAGCGGTGTACCTGGGAGGTTCAGTCGGTTAAGCGTCCGACTTTTTTTTTTATTATTGTGTATTTATTTTGAAAGAGAGACAGCAATGGTGGGGCAGAGAGAGAGACCCAGAATCTGAAGCAGCTGAAGTCAGATGCCTGACTGAGCCACCCAGGTGCCCCAAGCACCTGATGGATTTCAGCTCAGGTCATATCTCAGTTCGTGAGCTCAAGCCTCCCATCGGGCTCCACGCTGACAGTGTGGAGTCTGCTTGAGATTCTCTCCCCCCACCCCCTGCCCAGCCCTCCTCTGCCTGTGCTCTCTCTCTCGAAATAAATTTAAAAACCTAAAAGAAAGGCAAAGAGAGATTGGGAGGCAGATCACGCAGAAGCTTGGAGGCAAGGAAAAAAAAAAAAAAAAGTAAAAGTAGTTTCTGTTCATTGAGAACTTTCTGTCAGATGGATGTTACTCATTTGGAATCCGAGGCCCAGAGAAGTTACCAAACCACACAGCCAGTAGGTATTTATTTCTTGCAACCCTGTTTTCAAACAGACTTGGCCTAGCTGGTTAATGTCTGATGCTTAAATGCTAAGCGAAACTGTGTCCTGCGGACATGTTTAATCAAACACTTGTTTGAATGAGCTTTTCTAATGCAGCATTTACGGTAAAATGAAAACCACCCTTACTGTGCTCTTAAAATACTGTACCCTTACGAAGGTGAGGAAATCTGATATATTGCAGTGAGATTTTTGGTTAGAATTGAACCCTAAAGGGGTTTTTAATTAACCAGTATATTCCATTCCCCAGGCATATGGCTAATTGAAATTTTTCTACGTGCAAGGTTCATAATTACTACGAAATCTGAAGTGTCGGCAGAACAACTTAATCATAGGAAAATCCTACTATTTTACATTTCCTGGTGTTTCGCTACCTAAATGACACATTTATGACTCACACCTTCAAAGAAAAGTGCCTTTTCTAAAAAAAAAAAAAAAAAAAAAAAAAAAAAAAAAAAAGAGCTGCCCTTCCTAAACTACTGTCCCTTCTTCTGCTCCCCGAGATCCCACCCCTTTCTGACCCAGTTCAACCATCACCTGCTCTGCGGACTCTCGGATGTCCCCCCCACCCCCGCTCCGACCTACCGCCCTCCCCAGGCTGTCACTCTTCCGTGTGATTTTAGACAACACTGTTCAGAGTGTTCTTACGGCAGCCACAACGGCAAAGGCAACTCCCAGTGACCCAGAGACACGCCTAGATTCATGCATTCATTCAGCAAACATTTTTTATTATGTGAACCTGGCTCCACGCCAGACACAATGACAGAAGAATGGACAGACAGGGACGCCGTGGGGGACGGCTACCCTGTCTTGTGTCCCATCCTCGCCTCGACACGGCTGGACGAGTGGGGAAGACTCAGACAGGTGACCGGAGGGAGGATGCGCTACCTTCTAACTTAGGGGACACAGAAAGAGGAACAAGACAAAGTAGAACACGAGAAGGTGGAAATGCCCAGCGGCCTGGGTCTGAGGACAGCCCGGGAATCACGGCCGTTCCTTAGGAGGAGGGTTTGTGTTGTTTTCTGGACAAGGTGGCGTGCGGGGCCCTAAGGCAGGCCGACAGGTGTGGTCTGAGAACGCACAGGCAGGCGCAGATCCAGGAGGTTGGGAAAAGGGAAAAGACGGGACAGAAAGGACGAGTAGCCGGAAGAGGCCGCACTGTTCAGGGACGAGGGGCGCCCTGGCCGACGGCCCTGAGGCTCGGGGTGGAGGCCTTGTCAGATGTGAGCAGTCCCAGGTGAGACGAATATTCTTCAAGCGAAGAAGGCAGGCCCCCTCCCAGTCGGTCCTTAAATTCAGTGACCCCTTCCATCTTGAAGGTGGGGCCACCAGCTTCCTCCAGGTCACACTTGTATTGCCTCCAGTGCTGGGGACACCGAGGAGAGGGCTGTCCTGTGCAGCTGGCCAAGAGCCGTGGCGAGCGGGGCCAAAAGCCTCCCCCATTGTAAAGAAATATCTGACACGTCTCATTAATCCATTCGAATCTGCCCATTCCCTAACGTTTCCTGAGTGCCTGCCCAGTGTTGGGGACACAGAGACAGAAGCCCCTGCTTTCACATTCTGATGTGGGACCCAGACCCACGTGAAGCATTTACAGAGCCGTGCGGCACGTGCTGGCATACACGGCTGACAAGGACGGACGGGTCATAAACTTCAGGGCCACGTTTTGCCAAGTTGAAAGCCATTTCTAGGTCCCAAGCCCCCCACCCGCCCCAACCCAAGGTTTACGTTTTTATCACTCTGTGAGTGATGGTGGATAGTCTTCTCCATGACCTCCACGAGGTCTCTGTGAATATGCCATCTGGAGACAGAAAATTCTAAGATTTCTTAGACACCCGAATAACATTATTTACACAACTCCCTTTTAAATTGACCCAAATATGCTACTAAAACATATCACTAAATGGAATGTATCGCTTCCCCCCACCCCTTTTAAACGTCTTAGCTAAACATCTTCATTGTCCCGACGACTTCTGGTTCTTATTTTCTTGATGCACGCATTGTCCTCATCCTGTTTGGAAAGAAAAAATAGAACTCTTAAGTAATTGAAGAGAACAATTTTTGTAACCAACCACACTCTGCAAAATCCCAAAGCCTGATTAGGTGTGATGCACGCCTGGAGTTCTAGGAAATTAATTTTAAGGTTGGAAATGAGTTTTAGGAGGTAACCCGTGAACGTCGCTTTTGTCCTTTAAAATGTTTTTACTATTTGGTTTTTTAGATTTAAATAGGAAGCTCTGTAACCTGTTTTTAAGTTCAGACAGTAATAAAAAAAAGAAAGAAAACTGCCACGCAAATACACACATTTTCACTAATTAAAAAAAAAAATACCACTCAAGGGGCGCCTGGGTGGCTCAGCCGGTTAAGCGTCCGACTCTGGGTTTCAGCTCAGGTCATGATCTCACGGTTCGTGAATTCAAGCCCCATGTTGGGCTCTGTGCTGACAGCGCAGAGCCTGCTTGGGATTCTCTCTCTCGCTCTCTCTCTGCCCCTCCCTGCCTGCGCTCTTTCTCTCTCTGTCTCTCGAAATAAATGAATAAATAAACTTAAGAAAAAAAAAAGCCACTCAAAAAAGTGAATTCAAATTTATCAACAGGACAAAATCTTTTGGGTTTTCTAACTCATCTCTGGTATGAGGTGCACAATCTCTCCACACTCAGCGCGTGTGACCGGAGACCGCCTGCTGTGTGTGCTCCAGAAGGAGCCGAGAGGAGGCTCATCCCTCTGGACAGGGAGATAAAACAAAGGACGATCTGCCCTTTCAGAACCAAGTCGGGTGTCTGCTCCTACTTTACGCTGTCCCCCAACCCAACAGCCCATCAGAAAAAGTATGTCATGTTGAGGATACTTCGGAAGCAGACCCCATCAGTGCCTTTACCAAGTGATATTTATTTATTTATTAAGTGTATTTATTTTGAGAGAGAGAACACAAGCAGGGGAGGGGCAGAGAGAGAGAGAGAGAGAGAGAGAGAAAATCCCAAGCAGGCTCCGCACCGTCAGCGTGGAGCCCGATTTAGGGCTCGAACCTACGAACCGTGAGATCATGACCTGAGCTGAAACCAACAGTCAGGCCGCTTAATGGACTGAGCCACCCAGGGGTCCCCCTTACCAAGTGGTCTTTAATACCTGAAGGGAGGGAAGGGTCAGGAGAACAAAAGGCAAGAATTAAAAAAGCCAAAGGCTCAGTTTGAATGCACGCGCCCTGAACCCCTCGAACGATGACTGAAGGTATCACCTTACTCCAGCACAGATGGCCATCCGATGACCCGAGTATTGGCAAAGTGTCATGGTGGACTCCCACCCCGCAGAGGACAGTAGAGTGGGCGCTCTAGCAGCTAATCAGGGGCTGGGGGCAATATATTCGGTTTCTGCTGACCACACCCACCCGCTCTGTCCCTTTTCCCTCACGGCTCAAAGGATGGCGGGGGCACCCAGGGACGTCCTGGGCGGGGACGTACGCGGGCACCGTCACCATCATTCCAACACGCGGTGAACAGACCCCTTCTGCCTTCGCCGCTCGCACTGAGTCAGACCAGCCGGTCAAGCAGTGAGTTCACGCACGCACATTCAGAGGGGCGGCCACGGCACTGGCCTCTGGAGATCTCCAGCCGCGTGCTAAGAAATTTACACCACTCGCAAACAGGGAGCTACTGAACCCCCTCCCTACTTTTAAACTAACAACATCAAGTGTTCCCCAGGAGAACACCGACTGGATTTAACCATGCACCGTGGATTTATTCAAATGACAGACGGCTCATGGGCTCCTGAACGTGATGCCACGTTAGCAAGCACGTGGTACCACTCGTCTCATGGACACTCTTGACTTTCATCCGGTCTAGCTTTCCAAAGCAAATCCCAGGAGATCCAGACAGGACCACCCTTCTGCTTCAGTAAGTGCTTGCTCTTCCTGAAGGGGGTCTTCATGTCAGTTTTCTATCTGAAGTGGAATCCCCTAAACACAGCTACGACGACACACTCATGCTTCCCACACTAGTGTAACTGGGACCTGGCAGCAAGTTATATGTAATGTTTCTTTGTTTTTGAACATGGGGCAAGATCGGATTGAAACATCCTCTGCTCGTGAAAATAGGAAAACAGGGGCTCCTGGTGGCTCAGTCGGTTAAGCGTCCAACTCTTGATTTGGGTTCAAATCATGATCTCACGGTTCGTGAGTTCAAGTCCCGTGTGGGGCTCTGCACTGACAGCTCGAAGCCTGCTTGGGATTCTCGCTCCTTCTCCCTCAAGATAAAAGAAACAGAAAAAAGAAAAGAAAACCAGTGAGTTACGTACCTTTTTTATATTTCCAGCACATCTCTTGGCACTCCGAGTTACTCGCTGTTGGGATTCACTCTCCAAAGCATTTCCTCCAGGAGGGATCTTAACTTTTCTGGATCTCAAAGACATGACGTCTGAACGTGGTGTTACTTCTTCCTCCTGATTCTTCACGTGGACACCCACACCTCTCTCCCTTTGCTTCTCCTCTGCCACGTCAGGCAAGGGCACCTTCCTCGGTCTTGTAGACCGTAGACACATTCTACTTGCAAGGACTCGGCCCGCAGGTGTAGAACTCTTGGCTCTGCCTTCAGGGCTTTGTGGCTTCGTCTGTTGGGAGGTCTTCCGGGGCTTCTTGTCATTTCTGTCTGTCTTCACTTTCTCTGCTGCTGCTTTAACAGGCTCGGGCCTTTGCTCTTCGAGCTTGGTTTTATTTGGCCGTCTCGAGCGGAGAGACATCGCCTAAAAATAGCAAGACAGCCGCCACATGCCAATCATGAGTAATACAAACCTCACACTTCAACACAGAGAAGAAAACGATCAAAGGGAATTTCGAAAAAAATCATGTGAAAACTTCACGTTTGTTTTAAGAGGACAGCAACCACTTCATTCCAGGGTGAAATCCTCTCTACTGACAAACCATGAATTTCCAGGCTCAATTTCCATCACAACACCTGAGTGTCATATATGGCAAATTCGATTACAACAAGCATTAATTACGTGGGCTTTCTAGAAAAATGCCCCCTTTCCAGGCAGTAAATGAATTCCTAAGCCTTTCGCAATCATTTGCTCAAGCAGGACAGGAGAGTCAGCGTTTCTGGAACGGAACGTACAAAGTACTGTCCATGCAGGAGTAACTCTCTGCCTCACAACCTTGACAGGTGGGCTCTCTTCGGGACCCGGACGGCCACGCAGATTGTTCTAACCGCATAAAGACTGACCCTGATCCCCCGCCCACCCAGCGCTCCTGCTTATGGGCTCTGGGACAACACAGGACCGAGCTCCTACCTTTCCTCGACATCTTTCACACCTCTGCAGATGACCATAACTCACTCAGTTCCTGAGAAACTCTCGTCAAAACTGGTCATAAGAATTTTGACCTGTTATTTTCCCACACGAAGTCTATTCTCTCTATAAATCCCCAAAGGATTCTTTAACTTGTCTGCAGTTACTCACTGTGCTGAATGCAGACCCCTTTGGGAGAAGATATTCGCATATAGATTCAACAGTTTATACCAGATAAGAGCCTCGAATGGAGAACACCATCCGAGATGGCATACAGCGACTAAGTGACATCTGCCATCACCTGTTGTGGAGAGGCTGTCGTCCTTCCTACTTCTCGCCCCTCTGTCCTGCTTTCCCTCTTGCCGCTGGTCAGGTCCTCTGGGACTTGCATCCTTTCCGCTACAATCCTTAGCTTTCTCTTCGCGGTCAGGGGCTCAGGGGGGTCACGTCCTTCTCTGGGGGCCCCCCTTCTTTTCTTCAGGGGAGGCTTCTCTTCGGCAGTGGCCTGGGCAGGTGTCACAGAGCGCAGCCTCTTTGTTCCTGGGCCACCTCCCTCATTTCCTCGTTTTCTCTTTGGGGACGGGGAAACACTGCTTTCACTCCGAGATTTTACAGGGTCTCGGTGGCCTGCCAGATCTTCCACGGGCTTTCCTTGAGGGGCCCTACGGACTCTTGCTAGGGGTTTCACAGGTTTCCCTCCGTCTGGTGTTTGCTTTGGAGCTCCCTGGATGCTACCAGCATCACCCCGTTGCTTGGTGTGATCTGGCCTCGGGAAGGACTCTCTGAAACTGGCCAGGTCTTCCAGGGGTTGGGTGGGGTTCGGCGCTCTTGGCCGATTTTTCCTGCCCGTTACGTTTTCTGTGGGGCCCAGTTTCTGCTTTGCAGTTCTATTAAACAATTTAACGTCTTTATCATCACCTCCTGATTCTCTGAGCAAGTGAGTGCTTTCCTCTGGCGTTTGGGTGGGCTTCCTGAGAGCTGAGGGCTCTTCCTTAAGATCAGCTTTCTGGGGAGGGGTCTTGAGCCGCCTCCTTCTATTGGTAGGCTTGTTGCCTGGTCCTGCAAGCGGAGATTGGAAGGGTGCTTTGGTGGTTCGGTCACCAGTCACTGGGTCTGCGGTTTGGAAAAGCTCTTTGAGACCAGCCAGGTCTTCTGAGGACTGGATCTTTTTCTTGGGTGTTCTTGGCCGCCTCTTGCTTCTAGATACATTTCTTACAGGCTCCAGTTTCGGCTTTGGGGTGTCCTTGAACAATCCGATGTCTGCATCACCACCTACAGGTTCTCCGTGTTCATGTGGGCTTTCCCCTGGCAGCTGGGTGGGCTTCCTGAGAGCTGAGGGTTCTTCCTCCAGGTCCACTTTCTTGGGAGGGGTCTTGAGCCGCCTCCTTCTATTGGTTGGCTTGTTGCCTGGTCCTGCTAGTGGAGATTGGCAGGGTGCTTTGGTGGTTTGGTCACCAGTCATTGGCTTATCTGTGTGGTTTGGTGTTTGGAAAAGCTCTTTGAGGCCAACCAGGTCTTCTAAAGACTGGATGTTCCTCCTGGGTGTTCTTGGCTGCTTTTTGCTTCCAGTTACATTTTCTGTAGGGTTCAGTTTCCGCTTTAGGGTTTCCTTAAACAAGTTGATGTCTTCCTCCTTACCTCCAGGTTCTCTGTGTTCGTGTGGGCTTTCCCCTGGCATCCGGGTGGGCTTCCTGAGAGCTGAGGGCTCTTCCTCCAGGTCCACTTTCTGGGGAGGGGTCTCGAGCCACCTCTTTCCACTTGCTGGCGTGTTGACTGGTTCTGCTCGTGGAGATTTACAGGGAACTTTGGTGGTTTGGTCACCAGTCCCTGGGTCTGGGGTTTGGAAAAGCTCTTTGAGACCAACCAGGTCTTCTAGGGACTGGACCTTTTTCTTGGGTGTTCTTGGCTGCCTCTTGCTTCCAGTTACATCTTCCTCAGGTTTCAGTTTCTGCTTTGGAGTTTCCTTGAACAATCTGATGTCTTCATCTTCCCCTACTGGTTCTCTGTGTGTGCGTGTGGCTTCCTCTGGCCTTTGGGTGGGCTTCGTGACAGCTGAGAGCTCGTTCTCTACGGTGACCTTCCCCAGAGCTACCTTGAGCCGTGTCTTCATGTGGGTTGGTATGTTGACTGTTTCTGCTAGCAGAGATTTGCAGGGCACTATTGTGGTTTTGACAACAGCTGTTGTTTTCTTGGTTTGCTCTGGGGTTTGGAAAAGCTCTTTGAGGCCAACCAGGTCTTCTAGGGACTGGACCTTTTTTTGGGGTGTTCTTGGCCGCCTCTTGCTTCCAGTTACATTGTCTGCAGGTTTCAGTTTCTGCTCTGGAGTTTTGTTAAACAATTTAATATCTTTATCCCCGCCTCCTGATTCTGTGTGTTCGTGTGGGCTTCCCCCTGGCATCTGGGTGGACTTCCCGAGAGCTGGGGGCTCTTCCTCCAGGCCCACTTTCTGGGGAGGGGTCTCGAGCCGCCTCTTTTTACTTGCTGGCGTGTTGCCTGGTCCTGCTAGTGGAGATTGGCAGGGTGCTTTGGTGGTTTGGTCACCAGCTATTGGCTTATCTGTGTGGCTTGGTGTTTGGAAAAGCTCTTTGAGGCCAACCAGGTCTTCTAAGGACTGGACCTTTTTCTTGGGTGTTCTTGGCTGCCTCTTGCTTCCAACTACATTTTCTGCAGGATCCAGTTTCTGCTTTGGGGTTTCCTTGAACAATCCGATGTCTTCATCACCGCCTACTGGCTCTCTGTGTTCGTGTGGGCTTTCCCCTGGCATCTGGGTGGACTTCTGGAGAGCCAAGGCTTCTTCCTCCAGGTCCACTTTCTGCAGAGGGGTCTTGCACAGCCTCCTGCGACTTGCGGGTGTGTTGACTAGCTCTGCTAGGGGAGATTTGCAGGGTGCTTTGGTAGCTGGGTCATCAGCCATTGGTTTATCTGTGTGGTTTGGGGTCTGAAAGAGCTCTCTGAGTCCAGCCAGATCTTCTAGAGAATGGGCCTTTTTCTTGGGTGTTCTTGGCCGCCTCTTGCTTCTAGTTACTGCAGGATTTGGTTTCTGCCCTGGAGTTTTGTTAAACAAGTTGATGTCTTCATCATCACCTCCAGGTTCTCTGTGTGAGTTTGTGCTTTCCCCTGGCATCTGGGTGGGCTTCCTGAGAGCAGAGGGCTCTTCCTCCAGGCCCACTTTCTGCGGAGGGGTCTCGAGCCACCTCTTTTGACTTGCTGGCGTGTTGCCTGGTCCTGCTAGCAGAGATTTGCAGGGTGCTTTGGTAGTTTGGTCACCAGTCATTGGTTTATCTGTGTGGTCTGGTGTTTGGAAGAGCCCTCTAAGTCCATCCAGGTCTTCTAGAGAATGGACCTTTTTCTTGGGTGTTCTTGGCCGCTTCTTGCTTCCAGCTACATTTTCTGCAGGGTACAGTTCCTGCTTTGGGGTTTCCTTGAACAATTCGATGTCTTCATCACCACCTACTGGCTCTCTGTGTTCGTGTGGGCTTCCCCCTGACATCTGGGTGGACTTCCTGAGAGCAGAGGGCTCTTTCTCCAGGTCCACTTTCTGAGGGGTCTTGAGCCGCCTATTTCTACTTGCTGGCATGTTGACTGGTTCTGCTCGTGGAGATTTGCAGGGAACTCTGGTGGTTTGGTCAACAGTCACAGGGTCTGGAGTGTGCTCTGGGGTTTGGAAAAGCTCTTTGAGGCCAACCAGATCTTCTAGGGACTGGACCTTTTTCTTGGGTGTTCTTGACCGCCTCTTGCTTCCAGCATTTTCTGCAGGGTCCAGTTTCTGCTTTGGGGTTTCCTTGAACAATCCGATGTCTTCATCACCGCCTACTGGCTCTCTGTGTTCGTGTGGGCTTTCCCCTGGCATCTGGGTGGACTTCTGAAGAGCCGAGGCTTCTTCCTCCAGGTCCACTTTCTGCAGAGGGGTCTTGCACAGCCTCCTGCGACTTGCGGGTGTGTTGACTAGCTCTGCTAGGGGAGATTTGCAGGGTGCTTTGGTAGCTGGGTCATCAGCCATTGGTTTATCTGTGTGGTTTGGGGTCTGAAAGAGCTCTCTGAGTCCAGCCAGATCTTCTAGAGAATGGGCCTTTTTCTTGGGTGTTCTTGGCCGCCTCTTGCTTCTAGTTACTGCAGGATTTGGTTTCTGCCCTGGAGTTTTGTTAAACAAGTTGATGTCTTCATCATCACTTCCAGGTTCTCTGTGTGAGTTTGTGCTTTCCCCTGGTGTCTGGGTGGGCTTCCTGAGAGCAGAGGGCTCTTCCTCCAGGCCTACTTTCTGGGGAGGGGTCTCGAGCCGCCTCTTTTGACTCGCTGGCGTGTTGCCTGGTCCTGGTAGCGGAGATTTGCAGAGTGCTTTGGTGGTTTGGTGACCAGTCATTGGTTTATCTGTGTGGCTTGGGGTTTGAAAGAGTTCTCTGAGTCCAGCCAGGTCTTCTAGAGAATGATTCTTTTTCTTGGGTGTTCTTGGCCGCCTCTTGCTTCCAGGTAGCTTTTCCACAGGGCTCAGCTTCTGCTCTGGAGTTCTATTAAACAATCCGCTGTTTCTATCACCACCTGCAGGTTCTCCGTGTGAGTGTGTGCTTCCTCCTGGCATCTGGATGGGCTTCCGGAGAGCCAGGGGCTCCTCCTCCAGGTCCACTTTCTGCGGAGGGGTCTCAAGCTGCACACTCATTGCGGCTGGCATGCCAGCTAGTTCCAACTTTGAAGATTTCTGGCGCTTTTCTGCGGTTTCATTCTCAGCCTCCTTTGGTTCCTGCACACGAATGGGCATGCGGAGGAGACCTTGGATGCCTCCCAGGTCTTCCTTGGGTTCTGTGTCTTGCCATGTCTTGAGGGGGGTCGGGTCTGCAGCTGGTTCCTGGTTTTGCTCTGAATATCTTCTCGATCTCCTCACTGCGACCACCTCTTCAGAATTTTCCTTTGGCTCGGTATCGTTCTCACTCGCTTCAAAATAGCTCTCCTGTTCCTTCACTGCTCCCTCCAGTTTCTGTTCTCGTTGCGGGGTCTTCCTCAGAAGTCGTCCCGGAACATTCTCCACAGTGTCCATCTTGGCTTCTTCGTCCTTGCGCCCTGCTCCTGGCATCTGTATACTTCTGGGCCCCACGGACCTTCGAAGCCTGTTGGCGCTTGACGTGGCCTTCGGAGCCCCCGATCCCGGAGTTTTCTCAATGTTCACATTTACTCTGACACTCTGACGTCTGAGGACAGGGCTCGCGAGGCTTTTATCAGACGGCTCTTGCGGTCCATTCTGAGTCACGGGGAACACATTCTCTCCTACAGGAAATAAAAACACGCGTGAGAAATATACCCTGTTCAGTATGTTGTGCCAATCTGGTATGTTTTCCTTATGAGATATCGTGTAAAAGCCAATAGTTCAGCCTCCTGTCCACCTGGGCTAAGCATATGAGGCTACTTACGTGGCCATAAATCTGTCTTGCATGTGAGCCACATGCACCTAAGAATATCGTTACCTGGTGATATACAGCAGGTTCACACTTAGGAGGGGATTAGGATCCACAGAGATCAGATACAAGAAAAAAAGTTCTTTAAGAAGGGGATCCCGAAGGTTACCGCACCGCGTCTCAGTCACCTGAATGCAGACATTCTTTCCTTCAAACATGAGAAGCAAACAGCCATTTCTCCTGCAGAACCACTAATACAATAACATGGCTTATCGTCAGGACGTGTGGGGTCCTAACTGCACAGGAAGCATCTACTTTTCAGCACAGGGTGCACTGTTCACATGGTAAAGCTGTTCCCTTCATGCCAGGCCCTGGGTAACCAGTACTCAGTGCAAGAGCAAGACAGACTCATTTCTCCCATCTTGGGCTCACACCGGGGCACAGGCCTTCTGGAAGATTCACGGCACTAAATTGTACGCATTCTCTTTCTTTTGGGTTATTTGTGGCAATTTTGAGTTGGAATAATTTATGTAACGACGAGGAGCGATCACTCCGCTTCTCTGCTGGTCAACCCCTTTAAATAAAGAAAGCAGAAATGTGCACGGGCAGTTTACAATTATTAAAGGAGTACTCTTTTTTGTGCAACTCGCTGAATGCCAATGCTAGTTCAACTGCGAATAGGAAGTTCCCCTAAAAACAACAGAACAGGGGCGCCTGGGTGGCGCAGTCGGTTAAGCATCCGACTTCAGCCAGGTCACGATCTCGCGGTCCGTGAGTT